CGACCAGGCCGAGTGCGAGCATGCCGGCCACCTCAGGCTCGGGCACGGCCACGGCCAGCACGGCGGCGGCGAGCTGCTGGTGGGCCAGCGTCGTCGGGTGGATGCCGTCCCAGAACAGCGCGGTGTTCACGTCGCAGGCATTGACGGCCGCGCCGCAGGCGTTGGTCCAGTTGCTGAAGCCCGAGGCGGCACCCGCACCGACCACACCGGTCATGAAGCTGAACATGTCGAAGGTCTTCACCCCAGCACCGGCGAGCGCGCCGGCGAGCTGTGCGTCCATCGCGAAGCTCAGGTTGGTGGCCAGCGCGCTGACGCCCAGCGCATTGGCCAGCGGCGTCAGGCCGAAGTTCGGCGTGTTCAGCACCAGCACGTGTTGCGCACCGGCGGTCTTCAGGCTCGACACGAGGCCGGCCATGTCGTTGGCGTAGTCAGCCACGGTGGCGGCGGCGGTGGTGTTGGGGTCGGCACCCGCGGCGATGGCTTCCAGCGCGGCGCGGATGTTGTTGCCACCGCCCGCGACGATGTAGAGCGCATTCGGATCGGCGATGCCGCCGGTGGCGCCCAGGAAGGTGTTGAGCTGCGTGCGCATGCTGAACGGGAAGCCCGGGATCTGCGGCACGTCGCTGCCGTCGATGCCCGTCTGGGCGCCGCCGAATGCGAAGTTGGTGCCGCCGGCGAGCGAGGGCGTGAGCGTCAGGCCCAGCGACTGCGCCAGGTACTGCGTCCAGACCATGCCGTTCGAATAGGTGCCGGCAGCCGACGGGATGCGGCTGTACGAGCCGTCGTTCGCGATGACGACCGGCGGCAGCGGCTGCGTGCCGAAGTTGCTCAGCAACAGCGCGTTGTTGCCGCTGTCGGACAGGCTGTCACCGAAGACGACCATGCCGGAGTAGGGACCGGCGGCGGCGGCGGTCAGTGCAGCAGCACAAAGACCAAGACCCGCGAGTGCGCGGGTGATCGAGCGAATGGACATGGAGACTCCCTGATGGCGCCGCAGGACTTCTGGCGGCGCGCGCGAGCATCCCCGGACCAGGGGGAGTGCGTCAATGAGGAGCGCTACGAGACCGGAATCGGCCCCCTCAGATGAAGGGGGTCATTCGGTGTCGTTGCTGAAGGCGATCTCCACCGCGGCTTCACGCGGCTTGCGCAGCGGCGCGAACTTCCACTGCTTGATGGCTTCCATCGCCGCCGTGCCCAGGCGCGAATGGCTGGCCTTGATGACCGAGGTCTGCTGCACGCTGCCGTCCTGGCCGACCGTGAACTGCACCTGCGCAAAGCCGGTGCGGAAGCTCCCCTGCTGCTGCAACTGGCGCGGCAGGATCGGGTTGACCTTGGACATCAGCTTGAGCGGCTCTTCTTCCTCTTCCTGCGGTGGCGGCGGCGGCTCGACC